GCAGGAGGCCCACAGAGAATCAGTTTATGTACGATTAATGTTTCATATGCAATAGGGATGAATAACCTCACAAATATAAGTTGAATTTATCAGGCAAGGACCAGTAATCTCTAGATGAGATACACTGATGATGGTAAATAATGTCTACGTTTCCCACTCGTCCATGCTTCCAGTGGCCTCTCCTCGCCAGTTCCCAGCATTCTCAGTATGACAGAAGTTACATACAGGCGTATTATCACGTCAAAACAGTGATTCTGTACAGTGCTAAGTAATTTTTAACAGATAATGCAGTTTAGAGTTAGCGCAATAGAGTTGTTATTATTATTCTTGCTGCAGTGCACTCACTAGTATCTCGGGAACTTAGGGTTACACAGGATGTAGTGTAGAAAACATTGTCCTGGCATATGCTTGCATTCATTCACATCATTTCAGTTATCACCTGCCGGGCCGCGGATTGAACGTCCTCCATGAAAATTTTCCCTGATTATGCTCGTGTGAAGAGTATTCAGTTTTGCATCTCTACAACTGCTGGCAGCGCTCAGTACGTACCTGTGGAAGAAAAGATGGAAAAGAAGGAGGAAGCAGGGAATCATTCATTTTTGTACAATTTCTGTAGCTTACTGTCTGTTGTGAAAATGCTATGGGGGAAGTTTATAAAATCACTTAGCAGGACCAGCAGATGGTGTAATGGTTGTGTGACTGGACTCTCATGTAGTCGACCGTGGTTCGAGTCCCAGATCCAGTGGCTTAAACTCACGCCGGGCACATGTGCATGCGTGCCCAAGATCCCGAGAGGAGAATGGAGAAGAAGGGATTGTGGCATGGCCATCCCCCTCGGGGGGGTGTGGGTGATTTCTCGCTTTCTATCTCTCTGTCTCTCTCTGTCTTTCTGGCAAACACACATGCCCTATAGCAAAAACCTCTCAAAAAATCACTTAGCATAAAATTCTTTGTCCAAATCTAATATGAATATAGTTTAAATTATTCATTCAATAGTGTTAAATAGGCCCTTCAGTGAGATTTTCTGAGTAGAAAATGTGTGTTTTTTTTTTAAGAAACATACTCTGAGACTATAAAAATAGTTACTAAGTTACTAAAATAATTCCTAAGATTATACATAGACTAAATGTATTCTTTTTGCTACAATCAGAATTTTATAAAATTCTCAATTTATTTTCTGATTTTCGCCCATTCTCGAGTTTCGTTTTTCCTGGTACCAAAAACATCTAGTCTATTATTTATATAGGGAAGACCAGAAAAGTCGGTAAAATTACATTAGGCTACAATGTTGGTGTCCTAAGTGTCAATTGTGGTAATTAGTTGATTATCTTCTTTATATTTGCCTGACTTAGGGTCTAAATACAACCTAGAGTTACTCTCTGGATCAAAGAGAATCTCTAGTTTTAACCCATGGATTGATTATTAACATTCTAGCAGGTAAGTTTTTGTAAAGTAGCAAACTGATAAATACCTTGCTATTGTTCTGTGACTAATGTCACCTCTTCTTAATGAGGATAGATAATCCTGTTAGTGTAGTTTCACAGAATTTGCTTCCAAGCAAATTTATGTTTCTCTCTTTTCTTACTGCCTGCCTTGGTGCTTGGATAGCTTCAAAGAAAGCATGGAGAAATCCTCATACTCCGACTGGCTAATAAATAACAGCATTGCCGAGCTGGTTGCTTCCACAGGCCTTCCCGTGAACATCAGCGATGCCTACCAGGACCCGCGCTTTGATGCCGAGGTAAGAGGAGTGCTCTGGTAGTAGTCGTAAGGTCCGGGTTACACTGTTGATGGTTGAAACAGAAAGGGATTTCATGCAGATTGACAGCAACCCTGAGTTTACAGGTAATTCTTCTATAGCCTTCTATGAGATGACTCTCAACATTGCCTACTGTTTTTTGTTTTGTTTTTCTCTCTGTTTTTAGGTCTCTACCATACAGCATCTGTGCTCACTGGAGAGTGAGAGAGAGGCAGAAAGAGAGAAAGTGAGAAAGCACCCCGCAGGGGGATTGCTTCACCTTAATCCTTTCTCCTCCTGGGATTTTGAGCATGCATGCACACATGCGTGGTGTGATTTTCAAGCCGCCAAGTCTGGAATTTGAACTGATCCGGCCATGTGAGAATCCAGTGCCTTAATCACCATGCCACCTGCTGGCCCCCAGCATTGCCTACTGTTAACTGACAGAAAAACTTCCCATATCTGCCCTGATTTGAGCAAAATGGTTATCCTTAATCTGATCTTCTTTGGTGATTAGGTAGATGTTATATTAAATGATGAAATATTTAATAATAAAGTGTATATGTAACAAAGTTATTTCCCAGTAGATACTAGAACAACTACCATATTTTTAAAATTATGCCAGAGAAACAGCAAATTGGATGATAATATTCTTTGATGTTAATTGTATAGTTATAATTATTGATATAATTTTACATTGTGTTGCTATACAGACTATATTCAAAACAATTTTAAAGTTTACATACTACAGTAGTATAGAGTATCATACAGATGAAGTCACATGAACTTATAAATGTCTTCCTCTAAGTATGACGTATGCGTGTATATATGTACATATGCATCCCTATACGTATATAATGCATATGTATTCATTGAAAGAAGAGTTTCTGCTAATGAAAAGTGGGCTGAGGAAGGGTGACAAGGGTGTTGCCGGCAGAGCTGAGTGAACGTGGAGCGTTGGGAAACTCAGTCGTTAAACTCAAAGTCATTAGTTCAGTGTTGCTGAGGGGCCGTAGTGGATAAGGCTGGAGAACAAAGCCGGGGTCAAATCACCAGAATATTTTGAAAGCTGTGAAGACGTTTGAGGGTTTATTCTGAGCAAGAGAAAATCAGTAGTTGAGTTTTAAATGGGGAGAAGCGGGCACAGTGTCTTACAAAGATAACACTGGCTACAGAATAGAGGATAAATTGAGAAAAGAAATAACTCGGCATTTAATTTGTGCAACCCTGAGAGGCAGGTGTCTGCGACTCCATTTTACAGAAATTGAGGGCAGGTCTATGGCTCTGGAGACAGGCAAGGATGCAGTCCTACTGTCTCTTGGATTCCACAGCCAGCCCTCTTCACTCTGTTCACGCCATCTCCACTGTCCATCTTGGGGACATGGTGGTAGCAGGGAGGCTGGGCTCTTCAGTCTAACTTACAACTTCAGTCAGATCATCTTTGCGGATTTTCCCAGGAAATTCTCAAATTCCCAAACTCTCCACTTCTCTGTAGCTATCTAGATCTCTCTTCCCGATGGCTACGTTTTCCATGTACTTTCTGTTCCTTCTTGAACATGAGGTTTGTTTATTTTTCTTTTTGAAAGATTCTCCATTAGTAAAGGTGATACATGGTTCTTACTTTTTAAAAAAATCAAGCAATACAGAAAAGTAGAAAGTACAATCCAGAATTCTATCAACCCAGAAATAACCGTAACAACATTCCACAAGAGCATATACAGAGAGAGAAAAATTCCAAAAAGTCTCCTATTATAAATACCATGTATACATTGTCACTAAATTTAATAGAAGAAAATAAAGTTGAAAAAAAATGGAGAAATTCCCAACCCTTAGTTAAATGGCTTAGATGCAGCTGCCTTGGGAACCCTCTCACAGATTCCCAGTCTGGGCTGGGCACCTTCACAGGGTGCTCCCTGCCCTCTCTCAGGGCTGACACCCTCTGGTTCCTTCCAGTTCTGATGCATCACATCTGAACTTTTTAGTTACTTTCCCTGGCCATGTTCACAGGCCCAAACTTAGGTAACCAGTATTCTAAATATGAATTAATTCTTTTGCTTTTCTGTATAGTTCCATTGCACATGTTTAAAAGCCCTGCCAAAGAGAAGATGGTGGCCCCCGCAGTGTCTGGGCTCTCCCGGCACGTGCGGTGCTTCAGTACATCTGTGGTCAGGCCATTTGCCAAGCTTCTGAGGCCACCTGTTCAGGTATATGGTGTCAACGGTTGCTATTCCACTGCGCTTTATTCTGCTGCTTCTAAACAAAATAAACCAGAACAAGTAGAAAAGGAGTTGTTGAGAGTAACACAGCTCTCGACGGACCCCAAACTGACTGTTTCTATTCTGATTCCATATGTTAAGCATTCCATTAAAGTGAAAAGCGTAAATGACATGGCAGCAAAAGAGAGGTTTTCTCCCCTCACATCCAGCCTGATCAATTTGCTTGCTGGAAATAGTCATTTAAGCAACACCTAGGGAGTCGTTTCTGCCTTTTCTACCATGATGAGTGTCCACTGTGGAGAAGTACCTTGCACCATGACCACTGCGTCCCCTTTAGACCAAGTAACTCTCTCTGAATTAAAGGTGGTTCCTAAGTCAAGGCCAAATATTAAAATTGGAGGTTAAGATTGATCCATCTATCATGGATGGAATGATTGTCCGTATTGGAGAGAAATATGTTGACATGTCTGCAAAAACCAAGATTCAGAAGCTAAGCCAGGCCTCATGGGAGATCATCTGAAAGGGTGGATTTTCTGTCCTTGGGGAAAATTCTCAAACTTGGAGCAACAATAAATGCTTCCTGGACAGACAAAAAAAAAAAGCCCTGCCAAATGTATTGGTATATTTGAACCTTATGTAAATTGAGCAATAATGTATGTATCCTTCTGTGGCTAATTTTTTTTTTCACTCAACCTTATGTTACTGGGCTGTGTAATCTGTGATTCATTCATTTTTATTGCTGCAAAATATTCCACTGCATGAAGAAAGCACACTTCGTGTATCCACTATAGTATCAATGGACATTGCTTATACAAAACTGTCAAGGACACTCTTGTATGAGTCTTTAAGAGCTCAAGTATAAGAGCTTTTCTAAGGGTCAGATGATGACATAGCAGTAAAACGCAACACTGTAAAGTGGACCCACTGGGAAGTTTCAGAGTTCATGCCCTGAGTCCTCCCTGAGTGTGCTAGGCACATGTTCGCCCATTATCTGGGACTGGCTGAGGTGGGGAGTGGATCAGGCATCAAGATCTTGTTGGGGATACTACCCCTCTCACACTTGCTTACCCACAGAAGAAATAAATAAACTTTTTTGAATGAGTTTTTTTAGAGGCTATCCTTAGGAGAATGGCATGCTGGGTCATAAGCTATAAGCATCTCTACTTTTACAGAGAATGGAAAGTTCCTTCCAATCATTGCTGTTTTCCTTTTTCCTTAAGAAAAGCAGCACAACAGCTAGCGCAATTAATATTTCAAGAATACATCTGGCTAATACAATATGTTGAGCTTGAATATTCTTATATTTGCAGGTAGACTTTTACTACATCTTTCCTGATTGGTGAAATGGCCATATTATGTTTTTTCCACACTTATCATCCATTCCAATAAGGCAGACTGCCCTACTGGTCTATAAAAAGAACAATATGAACTCTCATGCAAAAAGGCAACAGTTATTTCTGTGGGATTGGGCATAAAAATTTCATGCCTTGATCTAGTACTTAGAAGCAATGTTGTCTGAAGACAGTAAACTGCGGTGGGGTCACCCATGATTATTTGAAGATCCACTTCAGCAGTGATTATTTAAGAAATCACCTGCTGCTTTGCAATAAAATAAAACATGAAGTTAAACCATCATTATTTCTTGGCCATCCACCCAAATGTTTTCAATCTACCATATGGCTAATACTGGACTGTAAATGCAAATCAGAAGCTGAATTATACCATGATTTCTACATGTTCTGTTTGTGTGGTACTGAAATTTAAAGTTACTTCATGCTTACGCTCATGCGAAGAGAAGAATAAATGGAAAGGAACCAGTGAATATGAAAGCAAGACAGAGAAAGAAATAGAAACTGTGTTCTGTCTAAATATAGATACTTAGCAGATATGTCCTACAAGTATGTATGTATTTTTGTGGCGTGTGTGTGTGTGTGTGTGTGTGTGTGTTGGATCACAACAAAACAAACTTATGTATCTGCTTAGTCTTCCTCCCAAAATTATATTTTGCCTCAGGAACAGGTGTCAATTGTTTATATGAATAATGAGTAAAACAGATTCCAGGGCTCTCCCAGACGTTGAGAAGCTAAAATCTTCTCCCCATAAAGCCTGATGTGAGGTAGTATAGATCATATGATAAAGAAGCAATTCAGAGAACATATTTTTCATTAATGTTTTCAGTATTTCCCTCAGGCTATTTCTTCATCCTTTCTCTCCATCACTAGAAGTGATTCTGGAATCATCCTAGAGAAAGAGGGCACCTTTTATAATGGTGTCGCCTCCCTGCCAAAGTCTGAATCCTTTCTTCTTGAGTCTGATATATGGGTCTATGTTTTTTTCCCAGTAATCAAAACTGGATAGGTATTTATCAGTGGTAGAATACCAGGGAACAACACACACACACACACACAAATCTAAGATTAACAGTTTTCGTACCTGATAAAAGTGCTTGGTTTCTTTGTACTATGTGTTGGCTTTCCTGAATACTTTGAGATTGGTCAACAAGATCGAAAATTTGCAGAAAGGAATCCTTTTCAAAGTATTTCCTATTTTTCCTACAGACTTTTCAACGTAAGTCTAGATAATGAATTTTAATTTGCCAGAAGTGCAATTATCCTGAGTATTATTGTCTATGCTAAATGTCCTCAATGGCTCAGTGGTTACTTCTGGCCATCTGAATTCTCTTTACTGCATGAAAAAGAAATTAATTTCATCAGAAAATGTATCCACCTGGGATAGAACACTTCCAGATGGATTGGCCCTATCCTGGGACCCTCTAATAGGAACACA